AGCTCGTGTTCGGCTCGTTAAGCAAACGAGTCAAATATGAACACATGTGAATATGAACACATGTTTTGAGCTCAAAATATAAACGAGCCAAACACGAGTAATCACATTAAGATCTCTGTTTTTTTGTTCTATTTTCACTGATGAATTAGACTTTACATATTTTCCCAGCATGGCATAAATCACATGACAATTATAAACATTAATCTTAATCAATTTTAAAAGAAAAGCTATCAAAAATTTATCCTCCATCAACTTCATCTCCTTCAACCAAAAACAAACATGTGACTCCACACTGAACTCCTCCAATCCATATATAGTCCTAAAGAGTAAAGTTATCCAACCTGGAGCAATAAAGTTGCAGCAAGACCAAAATATGAGAGAATATTACTTACCAGAACATAGGTAGCTATTAATTAATTCTCCATTTCCTTAGTCCAACCAAGACCTGGCCTCTTCTTCTCCTCCTGTGTCTCTTCAAAGCTCTGTGCTTCCAGAAGTGAAGCTTCAAAATCAGTGGAATCAGCAGCAACTGGAAGAAAACTGCCTATATCATCTCGGGCTCCAAACCCGCCGGCTCGAACGACATCGTCAGCTGTTACAATGGCTTCCATGTTCACAGAATCATTGGCAGACTCGGATTTTGAAGCGGAGTTTTTCTTATAATCTTCATCTTGTATTCTCGGATTGCTATCACGGTTTTGGTTTGCTGCTCCATTTGATTTCTTCTCCTGCTCCTTGTTTGTTGCTCTCCTTTCATTCACGTCTGCCATGGAAGCTTTTTAAAGGGTCGTTTGGTTTGCTGGAAGAAATTTAGTGTCATTGAAATATAATGTGCTTGGAATGTTTTGCAGTTGTTTGGTTAGGTGTAAAACAAAGGAAAACATTATTTTTTTTATATATATTTAGTTGAAGTAAAATGAAATCAATATAAAAGATACTTCTTAGGCATATTTACATGGTACACAAATCTTATGTATTTACATATCCAACACCCAAAATTCGATATTTACAATTGTAGCACTTTCGTATCATATATATGTATGCAAAAAAAGGTGCTTTCACTTGTAACAAATTAAAATAATGGAATTTTTTATATAATATTAAAGATTCGAGTGCTATACAAGTAAGTATAAAAGTTTAGGAGTTAGATATGTAAATATATACGAATAGTGCGGTATGCATGTAAACTAGTTTTACTATGTATTTGAAAATCAATCAAATCACGGCCAAATCAAATTTGAAATGTACCATAAATAAATTATATGACGAGTTATCCGCCATTGAAAATTTACTCTTCATTTTAAACTCTAAAAACCAAAAAAGCAAAATTTAAAAAACCCATGCATTCCTAATACAAAACACTCTGCATTCATTTCCTTGCATTCCAAATACAAGACAGTCTAAATTCAACCAAATGAACCCCAAGTATGTCATAAGTAATTCAAATAAAGTTTTGTACATTTCTTTGGAAGGCATTGAGTTGAACACTGAAACAAAAAATAGTGCACAAGCAACTGTATAAAAGTGAAGCGCTGAAATTGATAAACAATACAGAATATTAGCCACAAAAATTTTCATTGATTTTAGGTTCAATATAATGATTTTATTTCATAATATCTGAGAGAACAAAGCCATCTCCAACCAAGTAAATTGATGCAGGATATATTAAGATTTAAAAGATTAATGCAAAATGAACCCTGAGATCCTATAACATTAATACAATGAGAGAGATATTTAAAAATACGAAGGAATTTAGAGACATTTTCTAGTATGGAGTGTTAAATTCAGCAAAACATATTAGAAAAAATTAACTGTTATAAGATATCTTAGGTTATAACTGTATTCGATGCCGTCCATGTGTAAAGAATGGGTCAAGAAGCCGACCCGGTTGAGCCTCCAAATCTACAGAATTGACTATTATGTAGAAATAACATTAGGTGGTTGCTAATTAGTTGACTGTGGTCATAACTGTATTTTATAATAAGGACATTTACATAAACACAACCTGATTCTTATATATTTACACATCCAGGATCTAAATTTATTTTTTAAATTTATGCCACCAAAATATTTCATATCGCATCAAAAATAGCAGTATTTTAACTTTTAAAATGTGAAATACACCTTTCATACCTAGGTAAAATGGCATGTGTGTGTGTGTGTATTTTGAAAATGGCATGTGTGTGTGTGTGTGTGTGTATGTGTGTGTGTGTATTTTCTAAGTAGAAAGGAAGATACAAATACAAAGTGTGGGAGGGCCCAAACATGGCTCCCTGCCCACTTAAAAACCATAAATGGTTCCAAAACTAGAAAAAACAGATAAATATATTAGATACGTAAATTAAAAAACCTAACAGTGTCAAAATACATAGTATCAGGTGGCTAAAGAGCGACCCAATTTGGTCTTGCCTCTGTCTCCAGTTCTAGGAAAGGAGCAAGCTAGTAAGTTGGTAAGATGATTGTCATTGTCAGACGTAACCAACGTATCATCCAATATGTTCCCGAGCTGGAATCTACCTCCATTCTTCTTCTTCCTCCTCGAATAAACCTGTCATTCCTCTTCCAAAAAATCAGTCAGATGGGGTGGTAGAGCTGAAGCAGAAGGAATATCAATCATAGTACCCAATATGTTCTAGCATATGTGTAGTATGAGTTGCCTCTACACCGGATACTTCCTGAAGAAGTAAAGCTACGAGGCTTTCCTGATTATCAGTTTGAACACTTTCATTTGTAGGTAATAGTCCATCAATATTGTTTTCTATGTGGTTTGAAGGTGCCAACATCACCTCCCTTGCAGTAACAGTAACAGCAGTGTCATGAGGGGGGTCTTCAAGGACAACAGACACCACCTGTTTAGTAGTATCTTCCTCAAATGACCAAACATCTTACAGTAGGTACAATATGGGGGAAAACATCTTGCAGTAGGTACAATATGGGGGAATGTGTTCCAAGACAATTTGTTGCCAATATCCATTGTGGGTTGTGCCCAACCAGACTTCAGTAACATCCTGTAAAGTAATATCCCTTTTCACAAGTATTCTGGCCACCGAGAATCTGGTTAGGTTGAAAGTAGGCAGATCTAGCTTCAAAGAATCTCCTAAGATGACCCCAATATAGTAGAGAAGCTAATGGTGAAAAAAATGCAGCTTAGGCCACCGAGAATCTGGTTAGGTTGAAAGTAGGCAGTTCTAGCTTCAAAGAATCCCCTAAGATGACCCCAATATAGTAAAGAACCTAATGGTGAAAAAAATACAGCTTAAGATTAGGTAAACTAAACCATACCAGTACAGTGGAAGTTTCATGATTTTGGTCGAAATCAAGAGATCACTTGAGTAACTTCATAGCTTTTCCTCCGATATTAAGATATTTCTTGGAGAAAATTATGGTGTAGTCTTCAGTCATTGTTAGTTGAATCAACACATGTCTCTCATCCATAAGTCTCACCTTCCACTTGTCTACTAGCTTAAGATCATCTACGTTCTTTCTGATAATTGTAGTCTTCAGTCATTGTTAGTTGAATCAACACATATCTCCCATCCATAAGTCTCACCTTTCACTTGCCTATTAGCTTAAGATCATCTACGCTCTTTCTGATAACCTTCATAGGTAAGTGTCCCCACTGAAATTTTTCAATGAGAGCAAACTTGAATTTTTCTATCAGAGTAAAAATTTTTGAGTCAAAGAAAAAAATTGTTGTTTCCTCACCTTTCCTACTTCCCGTCTTAACAAAAGTGCAATCATCTGTGTCATTGCAACATTCCTTATAGTTTGAAGGAAATACCACCGCAGACTCCACCTGAGGATTTCCCACCACGTCCTCCCCGTCTTAACAAAAGTGCAATCATCTGTGTCATCGCGACATTCCTTATAGTTTGAAGGGAATACCACCGCAGACTCCACCTAGCCACCTGAGAATTTCTCACAACGTGGGCAAAAGCCTTTGTCGGTTCAACAAAAGAAGAAGGAAGTGACATCAGAACAACCAACTGTCACCTGCAGCGAGAAACTCGCGTCGGGCTAGAGAGAAAGGCGCAAAAACAAAGCAGAAGATCGGGCCAGAGAAGCACTGGCGCAGACACGAACAGAAGAAGCATCGAAAACCGACGCAGAACGACGACCGGCGGAGATGGACTCCGACGTAGAAGTCGCGGAACTTGTAGCTCGACACAGAAGCTGGCGCAAACGAAACCACAAAATCCCTACGTCATTGTCGCCGATCGCGGAAAACGAAACGAACTTGTGCACACGTTAGCGGCGAATCTTGCTAGCGGCAGAGGCGGAAAATGGTCAGAGCGTCGAAAGAAATGGCATAGAGGGTGACATCCTTCTCGAAAGATGCCATATATATATATATATATATAAAGGAATGGTCAGAAGCTATTATACGAGCCCCAACCATCCCTCAGGCACCTATGAATTCAAGTAACACACCCTACACTCAGGGAGAATCGAATCCCAGACCAGAGATGACTTACAACTGACAGATGTCTGACCAACTGATCTGAGTACACAGCGCATATATATATTAATCAAGGCTCTCG